GGTGTAGATCCAGGTGTGTGACACACCTTCCGGTCATTGTCGGTCACTTTTTCTTGGGGTACTTCTCCAGGACGGAAGCCATCCGACTAGAAAACTGGATGGTATAGTTTGTCATTGTGATCAAGTAACTGTCTATAGTTATATTACTAACGACTCACTTTCCAAAAGAAGTTTGGATTAACAGAACTTGAAGATCAATTACTAGTCCCTGGAAAAGCTTGGAAACTTTAGGATGGGTCACGTTACCTTTTCTGTCTGGTAGATTTACATTTAAAACTATTGAAATAATAAAATCTTAGATAGACTTGCTGGCTAAACTATATAATGCTTTGTTCTTGTTTTGGAAGGGTCCATTAATATTATATACTTGATAGCCCATACAAATCCAATAGGTCTTCTGAATCAAAGAAATAATAATAATTGGAGACTGCTAAATGTTTTGTTCCTATTTTAAAAAATGCGTAACGAAAAAAAATTAAAAAAGGAGAGAATTAATTTTTTTTTGGAAGATGAATTAATATTGAAAATTAAAGAAAAAAAATGGGAAAGAAAAGAAAATATATAGAACTTTAATGAGGAAGAAATTTAACAAAAGAAATATTTTTAATTTTTAACTAATTTAAAAAATGCAAAAGAAAATTGAATTGTAAGCTCACAACTAGCTCAAAGTGAGTCAGTTCTCACTGCTTCGGATTCACAGAGGAATTTTTGCTAATAGTAACTAGTACGAAAAGGACGGCAACAATATATGCCAATGAAGATTTTTGCATTTACAAAGGTTAATGAAGATAATTAAAATAATATTTATTTTAATTTTAGGATACTGAAAATGTAGATAATATATTATGTTTTTTTTGCGAACATAATACTAGAGTATATCAACTATTATTAATAAAAAAAAGATTCATTTAATGTGACTTGCGTAATAAATTATTATATACTTGACATGTTTTCTTTATGGAGAAGACCGTTGACAAAATATTATAACGATAATACAAAGTAAATGACAGGAAGAAACTTTTATAATGTGTACGTTACCTAACCAGCAAAGATCCAGGGACGCGGTTATGAACCCTGTGCGGTATAATAAAGTCATAAAATCGCCAGAAATAAGGATATATTGACTGAACACCGAGCAGGGATGCCAAAAAGTTGCAACAAAAATATTTCATTTATATATCTTTTATGGTGCAGACGGATATGAGCGCTCAAAGATGATAATTTATAGATTCTTTCGTTCTGGGATCGAGGTGGTCAAGTAATTGAAATATTTTCGTTGAAATATGGCCACATAAACGTATACTGTTGTCATGTTAAACTAAATTGATGTAGTTTAGTCGGGAAATCCAGCAGGAATGGCTGTTATACATCGTCTTTGTCATATTCAGAAAATGGAAATACACGTAGCTATCAAAACGACTCAAATAGAAAATGTATGAGGAAATGTAAAATATGAGGCTCATAGTTGAGGGTTTACGATGATTTTTAAAATAGTTTGGAGCTAATCTGACAAAATTGTCCGTTTTCGGTATAAAGGATGAATTACTTTTCTTGTTATTAAACATAAATATATTTTACAAAATTACCCATAAAGTCATCGATAAAGCAAAGGCTTTGTTAAAACAAGCAATTATTCAGTTAGTTACATCGCATAAAGATAATGTTTTACTTTAACATAATGTGAATCTATCGGAATGCTTCCATACAATTTAAAACATAATGATCATTAAAATATTTGTCCACAAACGAATTATATATTTATAGTAGACATCCCCGCCATAACGTGCCCTCCAAATGGCTCATCATTAAGTTTATATTGGTTATGTTGGCAGTGTGTACACTGTATTATTACCGACAGATAATAAGATAATTTATAGCGTAGATAATTAGAGACCGGAAGGAAACACGAGTAAAAACTGCCCGGAGATTCATCTCCGATACATTTATTATAATAATTTTGCATAACTTAACAACGGTCAGTGCGTACCGCGGGATCTTGACACGGCTTCTGTACAACCAGAACTGTTATTATGCCGTTGATGGTATAACTATAAAACTGACTCCGATGTTTTATCGATATCAGTGATTTTTATCGATATGATCGATTAAACGAAGCTCAGTTAGATTACGATACCGCCTCGGGGGTGGAATAATAAACATTGTAACAATTATTTTTGTCAGTCATCTCTTTGCGCTCATAGTAACAAAGTACGCAGTATTACCAAAACAGAAGTTGTTTGAATACATTTATTCTTTAATCATTGACAAGTTAGTCATGCAGTCTGATAGTTTCTGAGTTAAACATATCTTAAGAAAAATGCTCTAGATATTGTTTATTAGAGAGTATAATTAAAGTATAATTATAGTATAATTAGAGTAGAGTATATTTAGATTATAATTAGAATATAATTAGAGTATAATTAGAGTAACAACCAGCCTAAAGACCATTGGTCTTTAGTTACTGTTATTAATATACCATTAAGGCAGCACTGTCACCAGCCAAAGGCTCCTGGAGTCCCGAAGGAACATCCATTCACCAGTAGCAAATGAAAATATAAAAAAAATTAAATTGAATTTTAAACACTTTAAAAATAAGTTAAAGATATTTACCCATAGTTCATAAATGACTGCACAAAAAATTTACACATTACTTTGTTTCGGGACTTATAGGGACCCGAAAACGAGACTTCTCGCCTTTGGCGAGAGTCTGGACCCTAGTCCTCACTCGAGTGTATAATTAGAGTATAATTAAAGGATAATTAGAGGATAATTAGAGGATAATTAGAGGATAATTAGAGGATAATTAGAGGATAATTAGAGGATAATTAGAGGATAATTAGAGGATAATTAGAGGATAATTAGAGGATAATTAGAGGATAATTAGAGGATAATTAGAGGATAATTATAGGATAATTAGAGGATAATTAGAGGATAATTAGAGGATAATTAGAGGATAATTAGATGATAATTAGATGATAATTAGAGGATAATTAGAGGATAATTAGAGGATAATTAGAGGATAATTAGAGGATAATTAGAGGATAATTAGAGGATAATTAGAGGATAATTAAAGGATAATTAGAGGATAATTAGAGGATAATTAGAGGACAATTAGAGGATAATTATAGTATGATTAGAGTAGAATATAATAAGAGTACAATTGAATAACAATTAGAGTATATTTGAATAGTTTCTTTAAGAAACAACCTAAGTCACTTTTTAAGAACTTTCAGGAGATGAAAAAAAAACGTTTTGAACTGGGAATAGAACTAAGGTTGTTTTAGAAATAAACAAAAATTTTAAATTGTCATATAACTAAGAATGTTTACGGCAGATAGGTTTTTTCTGCATTAAACTTGTGTTACTCTAAAACTACAATGTTAATGGTATAATTAGAGTATAATTAGAGTACAACTTGAATATAATTAGAGTATAATTAGCGTATAATTAGAGTAGATTATAATTAGAGTATAATTAAAGTATAAAAAGAGTATAATTAGAGTATAATTAGAGTATAATTAGAGTAGAGTATAATTAGAGTATAATTATAGTATAATTAGAGTATACTTAGAGTATAATTAGAATATAATTAGAGTATAATTAGAGTATAATTAGAGTATAATTAGAGTATAATTAGAGTATAATTAGAATATAATTAGAATATAATTAGAGTATAATTAGAATATAAGAGTATAATTAGAATATAATTACAACATGAAGTGTTGTCTAAGAGCCCATTTAAGTTCTTGTAGGGTTTAAAAAAGTTTTAAATTGGTTTTGTCTTAATGTCTGTCCGTTCGTGAAATATTTTAATAATTTTAATTAATAGTTTTAGACCTACTTGTGTTTTGACATTAACTTTTTGTTGCAACTACTCTTTTTATGCATTTCTTAAAAAAATACTCGCATACTTGTTTTTTTACACCGACCCTGTGATAATCTCTAAGCTTAGTCTTAAATAGATGAGTAATACGGACCATACCTGATGATGAGGATCTGATCTCCTCGAAACCGGTCGTATTAAATTACTCTTGTGAGATCTTAAGGACCACCCTTGTTTTATTTACCTCTTTTTTGAAAAATTAATAAAAATTAAATTAATAAAAATACTAAAAATAATAAAAATTAATAATCATTAATTTTTTTAAATTATAAACACGACACAACGCGTGCAAAGCCGCGGGCAAAAGCTAGTTTTCTATAATTTTTGTTCAATACAAAATTTCTAAAATGCTCCGTATTCGAGAAATTCGACAAAATATAAAAAAATCAAATTTTTAAGAAAATTCTTTAAATAAAAGTTGTTTGTAATGTTATTCTCTATAATCGACAGTATAATTGAACCAAAATTCACGTAATAGTTTAATTATTCTTAATGTATCACCTTGGATAATTCTTTAGTTCAACGTAAGCCATTGACTGGAGTATTAACTAATTGTATTTTACTAATAATATTGCCAATTATTACAATATTTATTATTCGTTTAATTTAGATATTATGTATTTTTTTATTATTATTTTCATGCAGTTATATTTGTAGTAGCACATTTTTAGATTTTATCATCTTACGTAATATATTCTGATCTATTTTGAATATGGTAAAATCGAGCTTTACCCAAGACGTCGGATTATTTACCAAGAAAACATCGTGTCTGAAAACGGAAGCATCGAACACATCTTACCGCAATAAAAATAAGGTGAAGTTCCACTCGAAAAGAAAATAATCCATCTAAAACATCAAAGCCTATATCGCCATCCAATTTATTTTAACAAGGGCGATTTCTTTTCCTTCGCACACTAACAAGTTGGTGGGTCTCATTGCTACAGTCATCAGTATCCATAAGTGATGAGCTGTCGCTTCTAGAGAGCCCGCTCAAGAGTGGCCAATTCTGAAGGAACTTTTCCTCTCTTCTCTCGGGCAGTTACTTTCAGCTACCGGAATTTTTATTACCTTCGACGGTATTAAATTATCGCTAACTCTGCTCTGTTACAACTCGACATTATTCCTGTCTTTCACGCGATGCGGTTATGACGATGCCGGTTGCTAAACTTGTCTTAGAGATTTTGATGAGATTCTGAATTGTAACTAGTTGTACGGCTGGAATTAGTCTTAAGTAGTCTATAGAATGTGAGCTGATAAAAGAAGAATTCTATAGAAGTACATTAGTAAAATATACAAATTGTAAACGCATATTAATAAAAACACAATATTGACGTAATACAATTTCATTTAAATTCTACTAGAAATTCAAGGGATGGAAGAACGATCATTAAATACTTAATGACTCATTAAATCGTAACTTACGGGTCGCATATTTACACATCCTTCTATACGATGGCACCAGGGTGCTGAAATCTGTTAGCCTTTGTGGCTACAAATACGCTACAAAAGCTCATTGATTTAGGCACTAATGCATGAGGCCTCTCCGAGTGCTGAAATCAGTGAGCAAGCGTGTCTGCATCCTATATAAGAATGGATGTACTTAAACTGCCGTTAAAAGGTCGTGTACTAAAATGCCGTTAATAGACATGATGTCATTCAAATGACGCATTTGAAGGGTTTTGGGATTAAAAAGAAAGAAAATATACAAGAAGAAAACGAAGCAACCACCGCCACCAAAAATTTTTAACCCATACCTGGCTACGCCTAATTGTAACTAAAAGTCTCAAATAACATACAATTTGTATAAGTGCCCTCATCAATGAGCTTCTGTAGTGCAATTGTGGACCACAAAGGCTAACACATTTCAGCACCCTGGTGTCGTCGTATAGTAGGATGTGCACATACTTTGATTACTATACGGTGTAAGAGAGAGGTCCGACACGCCCAACATAGGGCGCGGCCATTTTGAATCCTATGCCACAGTTTATAGCTAAAGAATCATATCGCTCACTCTGCGTCGGCACTTTTGATCTCAATGTTCCAGTTTATAAATTGCGCAACTCGGATAATACAATATATGACAACCGCCTATAATAAAACAACAGTCTTCTGCGTACCCTGAATTTGTATCCCTGGGGTGGATGTTATTTTAGAACTTTCAACTGGTCCGAGTGAGCTAACTGATTCTTTAGCAATAAACTGTGAATCCAAAAATAATATTCACTGACACTGACAGCAGCAAGCAAAATATCAGCAGTGAGATTCCAAATCAGTGCGAAATGCGAAATCGAATGGCTTTCGATACTCGCAACCAAATACGATATCGAGAAATTTGCTATTCCTATTCGCTATCGAATTGCCCTGCGTTTTGGTCGATTCCGAAACCCGTAATATTCGTAGCAAGCATGCGCAATACGTGTTTTAATTGTCAACAATGCCATCCAAACTGACATTGTCTTTCTAAAGGAATGGATATGCACACAATTTAATTTAACGCAAGAGCAGCCAATAAGGCGATCACAGCCAATAGCAGGGCTTAATTCTTAAATTACGTTGAATTAAATTCGTGCATAAACCCATCATAATTACCTATAATAGTTTTGTGCTAGTTTGTTTCAATTTAACAGTTAATTATAGGTACTTACATTATTATTTTTTAAGGCAGACCTTTTACTTATATTCTCAAAATTCTCAACAACTTCTTATATCAATGAAACAGAATAATCAACAGTGACAATGCTTTAAACTCTTCAAATTTCAACTAGAAATCACAACCGCTACAAGGCTACAACCTCTACAACCACGTGCTATAACCTCAATAATCTACCGAAATCGAGCAATCCGGCACCATAGAGCTGGCGAGTGACTCGCAATCGTTTTAGTCGATGCGAATATGATTTCCCGCAAATCGAAATTCACCAAACTGTCGAAATCGAGTATTTCGATATCGAATTGTCAATGGGAATCTGCCTGCAGCATATAGATTCCAAATCAATGCGAAATGCGAAATCGAATCGCTTTCGATACTCGCAACCAAATACGATATCGAGAAATTTGCTATTCCTATTCACTATCGAGTTGCCCTGCGTTTTGGTCGATTCCGAAACCCGTTGTATTCATAGCGAGCATGCGCAATACGTGTTTTAATTGACAGTTAATATATTATGTAAACAAATCAAGGGTATTTGGTATTTATTTTTATTGGTGTTTTTGTTCGAAAATGAATTATAATAAATAGCCACGCACGTATGCTACCAATTTTTAATAATCGAATACAACGAATAAGACACAGGGAGTAAAACAGAGCCCCTCGTTTTACAAAGGCGTCTACTCAGGTACCACAGCATTACATTTGAGCTTCCGGAAGAGCGCTTTATTGAATTTTACAGATTGAACAGAAAAGCCGCTAGGTATCTATTTGATACTATACAGCCCCACCTTGTAGAAAGAGGCTACAACAATTCTCTGCCAAATTCCATAAAGATTTTTGCTGTATTACGTTTTTATGCAACTGGGTCATACCAGCGAGATATTAGACTTTCGTACCACTTAAGTTTAAGCCAAACTTTGATTTACCTGTTTCTTTCTCTATAACCGCTATAAGGCTACAACCACGTGCTATGCTATAACCTCAATTAATAATCTACCGAAATCGAGCAATTCGGCACCATAGAACTGGCGAGTGACTCGTAATCGTTTTAATCGATGCGAATATGATTTCCCGCAAATCGGAATTCACCAAACTGACGAAATCGAGTATTTCGATATCGAATTGTAAATGGGAATCTGCCTGCTGGTGCGTTTTAATCATCCGCTTCTGCTTCCGGAATTGTCGGTTTATTTGTTTTACCCTGTCAGATTAAAACAAGAAAATTGACAATTCCGAAGCAGAAATGGATTATTAAAACGCACCTATTAAAAATATTGCGCCAAGATGTAGGCAACACGTAATAAGGGATCAAAATGGCGGAGTTTTCTATCTCCTTTTAAAAGGCACTCAGAAAGCGGCCCAGTGCGACCATTCTCCGTATAGTAAAAGAAAATCAAAGTATGTGAGGATGTGTAAATATGCGTACGGGTCATAGATAAATTAATATGTAAGATAAATCGTTTACATGCACGGACTGGTAACATGTTTTAGTTCCTCAGCATACTATTTGGATCCACCATCGCACATTACACAATTGGCTTGACAGTTAAAGGCAGCAGAGAAGAAGAAGATAAAAAGAAGAGTGTCTAGTTTTCCCGAGGTTCATTCAAATGTACCTTATTATTTATTATATTTTTTTGGAATTCATTACTCAAAAAAAAACTAATATTTCATTGTAATATTTACGAATGATTAAAGGTATACATATCCAACAAATCTGAGAGAATTTTGGACCGGTGAGTTTCACAAGAAAACCAATCAAAAGAAATAACAGACATTAAATATGATTTAAGTTTTACTTTACTACCACAATCATGTCCATATTCTTTCAGAGCTGTATAGATAATATCATATACATCAGTAAGAAATATTACATTTCCAGTAACATACGTTAACCTTTGTTTATAAACATTTTCTTTAAAGATGGTAAACATATGTCGAGTTTCTAATGAATCTGCCAAAAGATTGGTTCTGCAAATATCACATTCGACATTTTTTATTTTTTTCACAACAAACCCAGCAACATAAGTTGTGGCTTGGGAATCAAGTTTATTGTTAGACAAAGATAATTTGCGTGTTTTATCAATATTTAAAATGAACATTTCATTGTACTTATGCACATTTAAATGCTTCGGTTCCTGACTAATTAAAAATATCTCTAAATTATCTAATAATCAGCCTTTATCTTGTTCACAATTAGCACCATAACTTTTTATAGAAACTAAATTACTTAAGACCGATATCTTTAAATTGAATACAAATTGAAAACAATTCGGGTGAGTATTTGCAGCTCCACACTGTCTTATGGAACCAACCATATTTTCAATAGGATTTTAGTTTAAAAATCTGGGTCATAAATATTTTATCCCCAATGAAGAACATGTTTTAAATAAATCACGAACCCCATTAATGGTTACGAACCAGCAGTTTTTAAAAGGTAAACGAGATTTTACTTTATAATTTTTCCTTATAAATTTAGGATGAAATGACCAACTCTTTATTTTATTTTCTACTTTTTCCCAAAATTTAAAATGTGCCGATTTCTTTGGGATACACCTTCTTAATGGTTTTCCACAATCTAGAATTGGTTTGCTTCCATTTAAACTATCAAACAAATTATCTATGTCTTCCACAAATTCTGCAGTATCATTTGCAGATGCTGCTAGACTTCCAGGAGCTGAACCAATCATGCTTTCTATAGCTGCAGACATTGTATAACTTAGAACTTTAGCAGCAACTGACACTTTCATTTTTAAACGGCTATTCCGGCTTACATCAAAATATTGTTCCCTAATCTTATAAAGTGTTTGAAGTCTTTTTGACCGATCTAGATGAAAAGCTTGCTTAATGAAATCTGAATTTGCAAATTTATTCCCGTCGTATTGAATGTGATAATTGAAAAGAGCATTTCTAGTGCACTTAAGTAAATGACAAGTGTCAAAAATAGTTATTATTTGCTGTCCATTTAAAAAGAAATGTGGCTCTAAATTTGTTACAGTCCCACCCTTTGTTCGCAATGAACTTAAAGCTACCCTGTTTTTCCCCATCAAATCACAAACATTTGTTAAAACCTTTAAACCTATATTTTGAAAAGCCGTAATAACCTCTTTAACCAACTCAGTAAGATCTTTACTATTTATAGCATGATGTGTAAAATAATATGCTATAGGTTGTTTCCAAACCTTTCTTAAACCGTGTAACATAAATACTAAAGCATGATCAGCTACTTCTAGGCGTCTATTTAATTTTTTTCCCACGTCAACATATCCAACACAATTTTGTCATTAACTGAATCAAAAGTAAGTTTTTCGGTTAAAGCTATTTCATCGAACATTAAAATACAATTTCTATCAATTTCTGGCATTTTACAAATAATTTCTTTAAATCTGGAAAACACTGAAACATTTATTCCCGTTTCAAAAGGTAAATCACTTAAAATTTGTTGAATAGTAGATTTACTAGGCAACGAAATGAATTTTCTTAAAACATTATATGCTCTTGGACCATTTTTATACAATGCTAAAGAAAAAATTTTATTCTGAGTGGTCCAAGAGGGTTTTGTTCTTTGATAATTTTCTAAGTTCTTTTTAAAGAATTTCATTCCAAACGGATCTAAA